GGTTTGGGTTTTTTAAGACAGGTCTTGTTATATAGCCAAGGCTAGCCTTGAACTTGCTATGATGATCCTCCCACTTCAGCTTCCCCAGTATTGGATTATAGGAGTACACCACTAAGACCAGCTCTAAAATAGCTATTTGCCTAAAAAGTATAAATCCATCTTGCTTTAGTAATGTCTCCATACTTTCCTATGAGGATTCCTATGTACATTTTAATAACACTTATATGCTCTTCTCCTGCTAATCAACCTTTTATTAACTTCATTTCTAAATCCAGCCAAAGAGCCCACATAAGAATTAAGAGGAGGGGAAATCTATTCCTCCTCTACAGGTGGTTAAAATTTTGAATGTCATTCATGTAGTAATAAAAAGGTTTTTTTGAGAAAAACACTATTTAAAAAATTATGAGAGGCTATTTGTTATGGATTAAAATGGTCATTTAACGCCAGCTGAATTAAATCTACATGGTGCTGAGCATAGATGTTCCACCTGAAGAAAGTTGCCAGCATAAACAGAGACTCGGAAGAAGACGAGGGAGGCATTTTTGTGGGTTTCTCTAAGTGTTGCTGTTTGAGCCAGAGCTCATCATGGCTAGCTTCCCCAGTGTGAATTCGACCATTGTCATCAGAGGAGCTCAGGACCTTGTACGTAAGCGTGGCTGTGGTTCACTTTGGGGGAGCTCTGGTCCTTACATTAAGCATTGCTTCTTGGCTCCTGAATGAAGATGTGTGCCACTTAATCTTCAGGACAAACTCCTCATGCTGGCTTTCTGCCATAACTCGACTGTTCTCATTGTCAGAGGAACTTGGGACCTTCTTGTCGCTGAGAATAGCTGTGGTACTTTTCAGGGCAGCCCTGGTTAAAAAAGTGTGACTTCTCGGCTTCAGTTCAGAACCCTCAATTACCAGCACAACTCCTTCACCCCACTGGCCTAGACTTTCGAGCTTCCACTGCTGACCTTTGGGCCTTCCCAGCACGGATCTATAAAACAGACTGGCGTGAGTCCTTCTCATGGGCTCTAAATCTCCAATTGGACTCTTGTGAGAGGCATTGTCATTGGCACTAGGTCTTCATCTGGTCTCATACAGGACACTGCTTTGGGATCCAGGCCTTTTGCTGAATAATCTGGGTCTTTAGTGTTGTGGACAGATTTCCTGCACTTTCTTAGGTTAACTCTGGGTGACCATCATAAAATAATTTTATAAATTCAGTATCCTGATTCTAATAGTTCTCCTCACAATCCGACTACACTATTTCACTAAACCCAAGAAACCGATGAAACCAAACAGTCCCTCTTACTAAATGCTACATAATGAAAGTGAAATTTTAAGCAGAAAGATCTCAAAACAGATTAACTTTACCTAAAAACAAGAGTCCAGTCTCTCAGTGAGTCTAACAGGGAAGTCCCTTTTGCTTTAACCCTTACCAAAAAAGTGATCTGTTAACCAATCAAATTCTTTCTCTTCTGTTCTATTTCCTCATTCCACCTTACAAAACCCATTGTATTCTGCTAGGGAAATGGGAGTTCTAATCCTGTTCTATGTAATGAAGGTTACTCTCATTCATAAATCATCAATAAAAGATCAACAACTATACTTGTTTTGTGTTTTGAAAGTAATTATTTGAAAAAGATGTCAAAAACTCTTCCCCGCTACCATCCCCACTGGTGCTAACGTGGAATCCAGAGTCTTGCATTATTAGGCAAGTGCTGCACCCTGAGCAACATCCCCAGATCTCATGAAGTCTTTTGTTTTTTCACTAGCACAACTTTAGCTGGTTCAGAACTCCTGAGAATAGAAGAACACTTTTCAGAGTACTGGGGCTAGAACAGATAACCATGCCCTAGCACCCAAGTGTTTCAGTCCATGAACAGTGGGACAGGGTCTACTTTCTTCCTCAAAAACTGTGGAGCTGCTTCCTCTCCTACTGAGACCAAGGGCAAGGCTTTTGTAGCTTGCTGTTCAGTGTCTATACTCACTAGCAGAAGCACAGAATTGTAGTGGAGGTGTATTACTTCTCCACAGGTTAGACTACACAGGCACACCATAGCACATTCAGTGTGCGAGGAAAGGTAGGCTATCTCATGCTACAGTTTGGATCTGAAGCCTCTCAAAATTCATGTGTAAAAAGTCTGTACTTTTAGGAGGAGGTGGAGACTTTTCAACAAATAGTTCTTCTTCCCATCCTCTTCTCCCACAGTGTAGCATGAAGGGGAAGCAACATGTTATGCAATCAGAGAGGGCAATGGAGAAGCATTATAACCTGGGCACAAGTCAACTGTTCTAAACTAAAATCTATGGCTCCATTTCTTAACACTGGTTTAATTTTTCACGCAACTGCTCTATGTAATGCTTGCTCATGGATGAATTTTCCATGATTTATGGTGCTTTTCATGACTTATTGATAGGCTGAATATCAGTACAATGGATCCTAAAGAGTATCCTGTAAATGACAAAGATTAAATATCAGAGCAAGTGCCAAGTGTGATGGCAGAACTTGGAAGGCTGAGGCAAGAAGATTGCAGTGAGTTTGATGCCAACTTGGATTACACAGTGAGCTCAAGACCAGCCTGAACTGCATAGGGAGACCCTGTCTTATAACACAAAACAAAAGCAAAAAAAAAAAAAGCAAGTTATATAACAAAGACTGAATGTATGGCATGGCTCCATTTTTGTTTTAAAGAAGAAAACAAAAAGCCCTGATGTCTGTCTCCAGCTGTGTATATCTGTTTAAATTAAGGAAGAATATGCTTTAAATTTTTAATATAGTTACATCAGAAGAATGGAACTGAAGACCATAAAATTATCCCAGTTATTTATTCCAATTAAGTCACCTCCTTTTCTATTTCGTCTGGTTCTGATTTATCAGTTTCTTATCACTTCACCACTAACGCCACATACATTCTTTCACTCAATCATTCATACTGTTATTGAACAGGCACTGTATTAAATCCCTGGAAACAAACATAAATACCAGTTCCTGTCTTATCCTTTAGTGAGAAAAGCAGGTACACTGATATTTAATTATAAATAACATGACATAGGACAGATTTATGAAATCTTAAAGAATATGTAAGAGGCCAGACAACAGAGTAGTCAAAAAGTCATCAGAGGCAGAGTAAACATTTTGGCCCAAACTAGCACTCTTAAACCTTGCCAGAGGAAAGAAAGAGGATAGACAAGTGTATATATGGCACAAAAGGCATGAGGCTGGAAATGTGGGCAGGATCACACAGTAGCACAAAGGCTTTATATATATAAAAACAATTCAAAAATCCTGAGGCGAGTAAATAAAAAATCTGCAGCAAAAGAAACATCTAGTTGATTTGACTTTTTCATAGACCATTCCGGAGTCTATAAGGAGAATGCATTTAAACAGACATGATCTGAGGCAGAGTGTAACCCAAACACATCTTTCCACTCTGTCCTTTAGGAGTGTTCCATGATTATTCCTCTTTGCTACCAACCATGTCACAGGTTAGGGTGGAGAGGCAGAGATCACATCCTAGAAAATGTCTCACAGCCTTTGAGAACCCTCCTTCACATCAGGCTCTCTCACAGGGGGTCTAAACCTCTTTTATGGGACTCACATTCTCCCCTGCATTTGCCTCGACTTAACCTAAGGCTCACCACTCCAGGCAGAGCTGCATTAACCAAATGTTTTATAGTTCCACAGTATTTAACAAAATGTCTTTGGAAAAATACACTGCTTAAAGTAACTCTCAAGTTCAGTTTATAATCTTAACTACTCTCTCAAGTGCCTGACTCACTATATTTCCAAGAGCCTGGATGATGTCTGCCTGGATGTGCTTTACAAACCCCAAACAGACCTAAGTGGCTCTCTACTACTCCTGCCAGTCATGCTTCCACTTCACATTTACTATTTATTTAAACTCTGAGTCTTTATTCACTTGCCATAACTTGCTTTGAACATTCAGCTGCTAAATATTGTGCCCATATCTTCCATTTCTTATCACTTTAGTTTAAGATCTGAAATGATTCCCACCCCCTTATATCTATGTAAAGCAGGATCCTTAGTGAGGCAGAGATGCGATCACACTCATGCCCCCCTTTAAGTAGCTGGAAAACTCTACCAAAACAAGGATCAAGCCTAACTTTACACGCTGCTGTATGTCACAGAGCAAGAGTCTGGCCTCGTATCTGGCCCTTTGTAACTTATGGGATGCTCCCTGTGAAAAGCCTGCAGTAAAGCTTCATTCCATACAGAGTGAAACTAAACTGAGACTCTCGGGTCCCAAATTATCTTTTAGATCACAACTCCAACAGTGTCCCTCGGGTTTTCCTAAGTATCTAATAATGAAGATTCGTACCCTGTGGATCCCTGCTGCATCCTCCCTTTCATTCAACTGCAACTGAAAAGAACACTGCATTTGCCAAGTGACAGAAGTGGTTTTTCTCCTGGTGTTCTCTCGTTTATCCAGCAGATGGCGAGGCCGGCAGAATCTGGGACCAGATCTTTGTGCCCCTGTTCTGAAGTCAGAGCGAAGGCCATCAGCATTCAGTAACACTGATAAGAATGAATGGGTCCCTCCAAGCCAATTCTCTGAACCACGGAGAGAAAGAGCAACTGGGGCTGTGGTACACGGAGCGAAGGGAAGTGACTAATCTCTTAAAAGGTGCTTTTTTGAGGGGTGGAGGTGCTGTCTATAGCACCCGAGGCCTCAAGAGTGCTACACAAGAGCGCCATCACTAACTTACACCCCCAGGTTCATTTCTTAAAACTGAATACAACACTTTGGAAGTACCATAAATCTGTACAGTCCACGAATGTTCACAAATACAGTACACACTCGTGAAACCAGCACTTAGGTCAAGAACCAGATCATCCATTCCCAGTACTAATTCCGTCCTACTCTCCTTTAATTGACTGCTCTTTGTGCTCTCAAACAGTCGGAGAGCTACACACCCAGGGCCTTCTGGCCATGGTGAGAGTCGCCCGGGACGAATCAGAAAGGCCTAAGGACCAGAAATGCTCTTCTTACCGATGAACTTGTAGCGACTCATAGCGACACCAAAGGTTCCTCCTCGGCGGAAGCGGACGTGGCCTCTGGTCCGCTCCCCTTCCGGTATTAGTCCCGCCCCCAGCCGCAGACTTCCGGTTCCCGGCAGCTCCTGCGGCCGCTGTAGGTGAGCTAGTAGGTATGGCTTTTTCGGTGCCGGCGGCCTACCTGACCCACCAGCAGAAGGTGTTGCGGCTTTATAAGCGGGCGCTGCGTCACCTCGAGTCGTGGTGTGTCCACAGGTGGGAGCAGGGCCCCAGGATCGGGAGGGCGACCGTGGATATGGAGGGCGAGAGGCCCGGGCCCCGGCCGTCCAAGGACTTTGGGGACAGAATGGGAGGGCGATGCCCGCTCCCCGGAGCCGGCCTTTGGAGCTGGGTTCCTGTCCAGACTTTGCAGCCGGTGGCTGCCGAAATTTGCAGAGATACTTAAGAGGTGCGGGCTTCAGTTTTCTCTTCAGCAAGTGGAGCTGGGACCCAGAGCACAGAGTTGCATAAAAATTAAATCGAGTACCAGAAACTGTCATAGGTCCAGTGCTTACTGAGTAACATTTTCTTCGCCATTTTACCTTACCTAAAATTAACATCAGTGCGTACATTATTTATTCAGTACGCAAAGCAATTTAAGAATGAAGGGATTATTTTAACAGTGTTTCACAGATAAGCAGATTGAGACCCTGGGAGTAACCCGCCCAAGGCCGATCAGGTGCCAAGTGCCGAATCATGATTAAAATTTAAGTGTCTTGACTCCAAAGCGTCATCTTTCCCATCAGCTTTTCTCTTTTTGGCTTCATCTAGTTCTGTCATCGCCTTCTAATCTTTTTCACCTCCCACATAATTTGTTTCACCTGTGTCCAAAACTGGGCCTAGAGCTCGGGCGGCTCAGGTGCTTGCCTGGTAAGCGTCAGGTCTTGAGTTCGATCCCCAGTTAAAAAACAAAACAAAAAAACCACTGGTCCCAGAATCTAGTATTAAAATATAGTTTTTCTGTGACACAAATACAATGCAGGCCTGGTGACAGTCCAAGATGTGTGAATGCCAGGCCTCTCTGTCTTGTCAGTCCCAAAACCTAGTTCCAGATAAAGGATGTCTGGAAAATAAACTTCTAAATGATGAAAAACTGAGTCAGCTTTTAAGGGTTTCAGAGGGTGGCCTTGAAGCGCAGACTGAACATTCTTACGGAGCAGGAAAGTGGCCAGGTACTGTGTTGTGAGATTTTTAGTTTCTTCCTTGAGTTTTTCTTAGTAGTTTATTTGAAGGAATATGCAGTTCAGCTCTATGGTGGATACCAAATGAATAAGTTAAATCCTTTCTGAGCTGCAGCAGGTCATGAATGGTGGGGTGTGAACATGTAAACAAATGGAGAATTACCAATTCTGTGAAGGAAGCTAAGCAGTCAAGAATTCAGGTAATGCTGAACTACAACTTGGAATGTTAAAGTTCATAATCATAACAGAAATGATAAAACTACTGTGGTAGCACTGAATCAGTATTTTTAAAATATCATATCCTTATGTCTAGCGGTGCCTCCAAAGCTTTGTGCATTCAAAAATGGGGCTTTTGGGAAGTGATTCGATCATAGGGATGCAATGAGTTTGTAGTTAAATGCGGTGGTAGGAGGGGAGACCTGGTCAGAAGAGATATTCACTGGCACCGTGGCCTGGAAGGATGCATCTCCCTTCATGGCTCCTCCTTTGGCTCTCTGCTTCCCACCTGCCTTGAGGTGAGCATCTTTCCTCTGCCCGGCTCTTCCACCAAGCCTTCATGCCTTGAGCCAGGCAGCTACAACTAAAAACGTAAGTCACAATTAACCAGGCCTCTTTTGAGTTGCAGGTGTTGGCTGTTTTATCCCAGTGATCAGAAAGTTACTAGGATACGTGGGAAAGAACTTAACAATTGGAAATACAAGTGTTGTAGTCAGAGGTTGCAAGGACAATTACATTACAGTACACAGAATTTATAATATTTTAGGATGGTCACCCAGAGTTAAATACAAGAAAGTGCAGGAAATCTGCCCACAACACTACAGACCTAGAAAATCTTGCCAAGGGCCTAGATCCCACAGCAATAATCTGTATGAGTCCACCTGAAACCTAGAGCCCATGACAATGCTTCCCACGAGTCCAACTGGAGGCCTAGCATCTAAGACAATGACTTATGCAAGTCTGTTTTATAAATCTGCGCTGGGAAGGCCCAAAGGTAAGCAGTGGAAGCTAGAAAGTCTATGCTAGCAGATTAAAGGATCTGTGCCTGTCAGTTGAGGATTCTACACTGGAGCCAAGAAGCAATGCTCAAAATAAGGACCAGGGCTCCCCCACAAAGGTATCACAGCTATCCTCAGTGACAGTGAAATCCCCAACCTCCTCCAATGATAACACCCAAGTTCATATCAGGAAGCCAAGGTGACAGACTTCTGGAGGTAAAGCAGCACACATCTTCCCCTCTGGAGCCAGGAATTGATGCTTATTTAAGGTAAGGAGTAGAGCTCCCCCAAAGTGAACTGCAGCCATTCTCAGCAACAAGTTCCCAAGCTCCTCTGATAATAATGGCTGAATTTATATCAGGTAAGCCAGCATGACAAGCTCCTCCAGGAAAACCAACGGCTCCAGATAACACTTAGGAGAACCCACAATGCTCCGATCTTCCTCTCTATGTCTTTTTTTTTTTTTTTTTTTTTTTTTTTTTTTTTTTTATGCTGGCAACTTTCCTCATGTGGGTCATCTATACTCAGCACCATGCTGATTCAGGTCAGCTTGTGTCAAGTTAACCACCAGTTTTAATCCATAACAATAGGTCTAGAGCCAAATGAACAAAGGTGGCAGCTCTAGTCCCAGAATTAAATGAGGGTGTCCAAAGTCCATGCACACTTCAGAGAGCCTGGGATGGAACCAGAGAACATAGTACCGTGGAGGGAAATGAAGGGAAAAATTCAGCAAGGACTAGAAAGGTTTGGGGGGACCTCTAGACATGAACTAGAATACCTTGTAGGAAAACATTATTGCATACTTGGGATGTACCAGGTGCTTTGTGAAGTGTGTCTGTTATGTTTTGATTCATGGAATCTTCACAAAATGTTAGGATGTAGACATTAACATGCAGAAAGGAACCTTGATGGAGCCATTAAATAGCATACACCCGAGCTTCTAGCAGGAGCAAAGCCAAAATTCAGGCTCATTCTCATAAATGGGCTAACTATCTTTCTCCTGTATTCTGTTATTACGGTGGCCTACTTTGGGCACTTGTCCTCTGGTGTGGACTATACTGAGAGCACCCTAACTGATGTGAATTTTTTTTGTTGTTACAGTGATTACATTTTTAGTTACCAGGATTTATTAGAATCATTTTCCAAAGCTTGGCACATTAAACTGATTTTTTTTTTTTTAAGACAGGGTCTCACTGTTGTCTGCACTGGTCCTGCCTCAGTCTCCTTAATGCTGGGCTTACAGGCATGTGCCACCCAGTGTCCTGTGCGAAGTCTGACCACAGTTCCTTCAGAACTTGCCTATAGTTTGCCTAAGGTTGTATGACTGGTATCAGGATTCAAACCTAGATCTGTAATTTGAGCAGGACTTTGTACCATGAAACACCTCCCTTTTTAGTCATCTATTTCCAGAGTGTAGCACAGGCCTAGCACAAGATAGGACATTCAGTAAGTTTTCAGTAAATAAATGTTGAACGCTTCTACAGAAGGTCTCTGTAGCTTCTCTTTTATGAGTTCCCTTTCTTATTTTTGTTAAATCATCATTCCCGTGTTGGAGGAGAGCAGGGAAATGGCTAGGCTGTATTTAAGACAGTATTTCTTGCTGCTGCTGGTTGGAGGCTGCAAAGGAAGCTGTCGTGCTGCGGCTGCTCCATAGGCAGGGTGGGGCATGTGCCAGGAGAGTACGCTGCTCCTCCTGGCAGCGCTGGGAGTGCAGCTCCTGTCGGACTCTGCTGTTCTCCCTGCCCAGCAGGTAACACTGCTAATCTCCAAAGTCCTTTGCTTTAAGGCACAAGTACCGGTACTTTGCTTGTCTGCTGAGAGCCCGTTTTGAAGAGCATAAGGATGAGAAGGACATGATAAAAGCCACCCGGCTTCTGAGGGAGGGAGAAGAGGAGTTCTGGCGCTGTCAGCACCCGCAGCCCTATATCTTCCCTGACTCGCCCGGGGGTACCTCCTATGAGAGGTACGAGTGCTACAAGGTAGGTGAGGGTCCAGGGAGGACTGGGCGCCGAAGGTGGTCTTCACTCCGCCCTCCAGACCCGAACCTTACGTGCTGTTGCCCTGTGCAGGGTGGCTAGGACATTTTTTCCCTGAGTTGTCAAGTTTGTGTGTGTGTCAGTTTTTTCCCCAGAAACTTTTCTTTCTAAATTCAGCTCCAAGATCTTGCAGTGTACTTTTTGTGAAGCCAGGTGATAGGTTACTTGGAAATACTGAATTTGGGGACCTAGAAGTTAACCTGTTAGACTGACACATTTCGTAAGATACTCCTCAGGGATGTTCCCAGATAACAGGGCGCTGCCCTGGTGCGTGTGGGGAACGGTGCGGTTCTCTCAATGCGGCTGCCGTTCTGCAGCCATGGGCGCTCTCTGTTACCAATCTTTCCCTTTGGTCCCCACTTAGCCTCTGCTGTTTGTCTCTTAAGAGTCAGAAACAGCCTGGTCATCACAGCAGTTAGGGAAGTACAGCTTGAGTTGTGTCTGCTGTCTCCTGAGCGGGACCCTGACGTTGGCATGTAAGTGCACCCTGCAGTGACATCATGCTTTCCTCTCCTGCAGGTTCCAGATTGGTGCTTAGATTACTGGCACCCTTCTGAGAAGGCCATGTATCCTGATTACTTTGCCAAGAGAGAGCAGTGGAAGAAACTGCGGATGGAAAGCTGGGAGCGAGAGGTGTGTGTCCTTGTGAATCGCTGGAGGCCCAGGCAACATGGCGCCGTCAGCTTGTGTCAAGGTTCCTACTCAGCCTGATGCTCACTCTGGTCCCCTGCTGCTCAGATACTCTAGAGTTTCTAAGTGTTCCCTCGTCTTTTTGGCTGGGATGTGCCGTAATTGTGTTTGTTTTCCTTCACCTGAGTCCTCTGGCTGACCTTGCTGTACCTTACTGTCCTTTAACCTTCTGTGCCCTAAAGCCTTAAGCATTTTTTAATGATCTGGTGGCTAGAGTTACATATGTGAAAGCTTGCTTTATAAAATATGGGAGAGTATGAGGAAAAGTAGTCTAGTTGGAGTACTGCAGTACTTCAGTCATGGAAATAGTAGATATGGAAGAAAATAAGACACCCCAAGTGTCTTTGAAAATTAGATTGATGGGGTGGGGGAGGGGCGGGGAGCACAGGGACTCAAGGGTTTTCAGGTGCTAGACGTTAATCTCCTCAGGTCCAGGTAGAGAAGATGGTGGAGAAGTGAGTACCAGAAGTACAGTCAGGCATCTCATTAGAAGTGTGAGGCTTGGGAACCGTATCTGACATACAGAGACAATTCTGGATGTAGGAATCTGAGCCTCCAAGGAGAGAGCTGGTCTGGAAATAGAACTGTGGTTTTGGTCATTTATAAAGCCATAGATGTGAATGAGACCCTTAGTGGGGGAGAGTAGAAAGAAGAAAGGAACAAGAATTTTCCCCATTCTAGGTAAGTGTAAAATGCATGTATATATTTGGGTTGGATGTTTTGACGCTGTGAGGTGGTGTCTGTGTTGGGGACTGTGCGCCGTGGGGAAGGTGTGCTCATGGACCGCACAAGCTTGCTGGGGGACAGTGGGCACTGGCTGGCAGTGAAGGTCCATCTGAGGCCAGGAAAAGCAGCTGTGTTAAGATGCCGATGTGTTCCAGGGTGTTTTCTCCTTACAGTACTAAGCTGTGTGCATTCAGGGTAAAGGTGATGGTGAGGCTGCCTATTACACACAGTTACTGAGAGACTGAAGTTGTTCGAAAGACTGATTGTCATAATGGACTCTCAGCTGCATAAAGAAGGGAAGTAAAGACAAGAGGTCAGCTTGGAAGGGAAGATTTGTGAGCATAATGTCTTGGGCTTCCCAGGTGTCTGCACTGAGCTGCAAGGGCAGGTGTCCTTGGGTAATGGGTGTTCGAATGCAGGGTTTAGAAGCTGTGCTGGGTCTGTGGTCAAGGTTGAAGATGTCGATGGTTAGAAGTCCTTGATCATGGTGAAGTGGAAGGAAACATGGCCAAGGGCACCATGTTTGTTAAGAAACGTCACATTTAGAAGCTGGCAGGAGGCTCCTGTTGACCGCTGCTCTTCCCTCTGGGCTGCCTTCATGCTCCAGCTCCTTGGCAGTGCCAGCCAGTCCACCTGTCGGGGGAGCCTTGGCTCTCATCCCCTCCTGCTAGGACAGTGACCTTGGAGGCTGCATCAGGCAGACTGCCCATTCTTTTTTTTTTTTTAATCTTTTTGAGACAAGGTCTCACTATGCAGTTCAGGTTGGCCTTGAGCTCACTTTATAGCCCAGGCTGGTCTCAGACTCGCAACAGTCCTCCTGCCTCAGCCTCCTAAGTACTGGGATTACAGGCAAGAACCACCACACCCGGCTTCCAGACTGCCCATTCTTACATGTAATTTCATGTTGCTTTTTGTCCAGGCTGCTATCAGAAGCAGAAGGCTTTACATTTAGGAACAGAGGTTTCTTAATAGCGCTTAGTGGAAACAGGAGAATGTTTTTCTAGGAGGGGGCAGTTAGGGACTGTAACAGGGAGAACTGCAAAGGTAACTGTCACGTTACCATTTAAAGAATAAGAGGAAAGGTGGGATAGTTTGCAGCTTTGCTGCTTTAAGAGTTGGAAAGTTTGCCAATGTGGTGATGGGTGGTGCATGCCTGTAACTTGAGCACCCTGAGAGGTTCAGACAGGAGGATCGCAAGTTTGAACCCAGCCTGGGCCACTTAGCGAGACTCTGCAGGAGTGGGGCCTTGGGTCACTTCAGATGAAACTGGGAGTGTGGAACAGTGCAGCTGTACACAGCGTGCATCTCGGTGGCGAGGTTGAGACTGCATGTAGTGGGACCCCACAGAAAGAGGGCTGCCACCTCACTGCCACAGTTGGGCAAAGTCAGATTCTTTTGATAATCTCTCCTTCCTCATCCCCTTCCAGGTTAAGCAGCTGCAGGAAGAAACCCCACCTGATGGTCCCAAGACTGAAGCTCTGCCTCCTGCCAGGAAGGAAGGCAATCTGCCCCCATTGTGGTGGCATATTGTGACTAGACCCCGGGAAAGGCCCATGTAGAGTGATGCAGGAACCTTGCGTTTATGTTTGCAAGTGAAACACACTTGCCCTAATAAAATCACCGTGGTCTGCTGTGACTGAGGCGTGCTTCTGTCCCAGGGTCACTGGTGCTGCGTGAGTTTGCCATATCATTGTTAACCTAGTCGGATGGGTGACAGATCATACTGACAGGCCATTACCAATGGAAGGCTGGCAGAATCCAGACTGACTCCTAAGACTGAGTTGAACAGCCTCTAAAGTGAGGCTTTAATTAGCTGTAACAACCAGAACAAATGCATAAACTTGGGAGAGAAATCCTGAGAACCTAAAATACCTTTTTGGTTTTCTAAGGATGCTCAGGAAGGTACAGTGTTTCACTATTTCCTCATTGTGCTGCTGCAGAGTGAGCCCAGGGCCTCTGCACTGAGCTGATGTCCAGCTCTTTGAAACAGGGTCTCCCTGAGTCACCAAGCTGGGCTCAAACTTACCCTCCCGCCCGAGCCTCCCAGTGTCCTGGGATTACAGGCCTATACCAGCAGGCCAGGCAGGGGTTTTTAAGTTTCGTGAAGGACAATTCTCCCACAAATAGGGCTGGCGTTGCTCTGTCGGGAGCAGAAGCTGGACAGCTGGGTAAGGGCTGGATCAATGGAGTTGTGGTGCTGCCTCCACTGTAAACTGGGTCTTCATAGGCTCACAGATGAGAACATAACATGACTCTTTGTTTCAAGGTTTTTCTTTTCTCCACAGAACTGATTTTCAAAACTCAATCAGAACTGGTTACTTTTAGTTCCTAGTGACTCATTAAAACTTTTCGAAATCATAATTTAGGGAACGCTTGTCCTTAGGTCTTGTCACCAGTACAGGAACAAGGTCATTTTCCTAAGCAAGCTCAATCTGAGTGAGTCTCAGTCCAGCTTCCGATGTTAATAAGACTTGAAATACAGGGCTTTTTTTCCTAGTGGTTCTTTATTTATAACATAGGCTGAAGCAACTGTTACAATGTAGAAGGGCAACACTATTACACTGTTATTTATACAGGTTTAGAACAAAAACTGCACAGGGAGAGGTCAACTCTCAGTACAAACTAGCAACTAAACCACAACTTCCCTTTAGAAAGGATTTATTTTTACCTGTGACACTGCTTTTACAATATGCAAAAACACAAACAGAACTATCCAAGGTGTTTTGTCACATTCTCTACATTGAATTTGGCAACAGTTTATATTAAATTTATTCAGATTATACTAACGTTTAAAAACTAAACAAGTGAAAAGCTGTACCAAGGTACAGTTACATCCATTTATTTTGAAGGTTTAAAATATCACTTTTATCTACTGTAATCACCTTGCAATGATTTCTGCTTTTGCAAAAACCATCTCAAGCATCATATGCACAGCGCATCAGCTTTTAGTCATCAAGACTGGTGGGCTAAACCACAGGCACTACTGTTGCTTATAGTCTGTTGAAGGAGCTTGTTTTTCAAAGAAAAAAGCTTAAATAGTTTCTAATAATCATGCCTTGCTTGAAAGTCTTAACGTAAGTGTCCTTGAGCAATCACAGCAGTGTTCAGTGTTACAATATAAACAGTGACTGTACAGGTACGTTACTCTCACATCCAGTGCAGTTATGTGGGAAGCAGAGGATACATCCTGAAGGCTGGAGCCAACAGAAATCTGCAAAGCAGGCGGGACAGGACCCAAGAGCCCTCCAGAGGGGGCTGTCACGAGAGCACTGTCACCCACTGGTAGGGGCCTGCTTGCTCTCTTAAAACAGTTGTCTTCTCAACTGTGATCTCTTTCAATCTACAAATCTCTGTTGACTTTAAGAGATGGGCATTATAACAAATTTAACTTCCACTTAAAGACATAAATCCATTCCAAAAAACTGCCTAAAATGCAAAAATAGTATAGTGGTCAGATTCCAGATGATAATTAATTCCTCCTCTTGTTGGTGTTGAGAATGAAGCCAATTCACTGCCATTTATTTAAGGAAGGTAAGAAAAACAAGCCCCCAGGTTGGTAAACACGTTGGCAAGTCACTGGACTCCAAATTAGTTACCCTTGATAAATCCACTCAAGTTTTTTCAAAATATTTGGGCTTTTCAGTGCACCCAGCCTGCTGGGCACAGGTAAGTAAAAGGCATTTGCTGTATCTAAGAATTCCCTGCTGTCCTCCTCTAGTGTTTTCGCGTTTTTAAAAACTGCCTTACCCTCTGAGATGGATCTGGATTCAATGAAAGCACAGCAGATGAACTAATGTGGGGACGCTACATCTACCCCGGGGGACAGTGGCCGCATGCGTGGGATTCCAGGTGGTTGTGGTGGCTGTGGGAGCTGTGGGAGGAAGAAGTCCCTGAAACACCCTAGGGAAACAAAACACTGCAATCCGGTATGGCTTATGGGGCGCATTCATCATGAAGCAACAAGCAATCCAACCTACAAGGCCACTCTCACGGCACAGGATCGCTACGCAGACAGGGTCCCTCCCGAGCCCCCACCCCGGGCCGCCAGTCTACCTTCCCCAGATTCCCTTCTCCGCATATTGCTCAGTTCTTAGTCCTGCTTTTCCATCCAGAACACAGGATACCTAAATGACAATTTTACCCCTTACCCATTTCGTTTGTACATTAAAATAACTTGAATTTGTTTCTAAGCTAGACTACTACAATGCATCTACAAAAGCTTGCAGGGGCCAGGATGAAAAAACAACTAAGTATAGTAACCCTGCTCTGAAAGTTACTACTCTGTGGTCCCCTGCCCAGACCCACCCCCTATGCATTTAAAATTTTACAAACACTTGTAAAAAAGTTAAATGGAATTTGGCACCTTCAGAAAAATCAAAAGGGAAACTAAGATTAAAATGTGCAGAAAGAAAATCGTCAATATTTACAAATTAAAAGATCAAGATTATGTCAGTTACATATTTTGCTTTTAATTCTTATCTAAATATGTTGAGTATTTTCAAAAGAGCTCAATTCTGAATTGCCTACAAAACTTTTTGATTATAGATTGGAATGGGTCAAGACAAATTAGGTTTTATTAATTAAAGAGTTCCTCCTCCACTGGGTGCCTAAGAGAGGCGAGGGGCAGAGCGGTCATTTGTTGTGGTTTTCTTCAGTTTCACACCCCTGCGGATGGCATTCAGCATGTCTTCTCCCTGTGGGGTATCCCTGGGGCTCGGGTCTGCAGGGTCACTCTCTGGCATCTGGCCTAGGGACATGTTGGCACTGGGGGGATCCCGCTCCTGATCTTCAGCCTCACTTTCCAGAATCGCTTGTCTGTGCTCCTCAGGGATGCTGGGCTTTGGGCCGGGCAGTGGAGGGTTGACGGAGGCCTGGCCACTCCACAGGGAAGAGGGTATGCCAGCGCCACCCTGTGGGCACTCACCCACGGATGGTGACTCAGGGCTGTGCTCTGCCCGCTCCTCTGGCCCATCTGGAGGGGCTGGCAGCACCCCAGGGAGGTCTGGGACAGTTGGTGTCTTGACAGGAATCACTGGTGTCTTGATGGGGATGGGACCACCTCCCATGGTCCCCCGGCGGACTGAAGGCTTGGTAGAGGGGGTCCGTCTGATGGTCGCGACCCCGGGGGTGACTACAGCAGGTCCGAGGGTGGTGGGCAGACCGGCCGTGGAGGCTGGGCGCTTGGCCTGGAACATCCGTCGATAGGACTGGCTGATGTCGCTGTTCCTCGGAATGGTGGAGGATTTGTCAAACTCCTGCTGCTCTGCCTCCTGGTCACCGCTTACGGAGAAATAGTCATAATCTGAAACTGACGGGAGGGAGTGGTTAGACGCAGCAAGGCCACAGTGGCTCTGCCTCCCAAGCTGGGAGGACAGAGGCACAGGACCACAGGCTAACCCTGTGGGAAAAGCTGCCGCTGGGACTTGAGCACAGAGGGACTCTATAGCTGAGCTACATCTCCGTTTCATCTCACTGAAGTCTTGCCCAGGCTGGCCTTGAACTTGTAAATTCTCCTGCCTCAGCCTCCCAACTAGGTGCAATGACAGGTGTGGGCCACTATGCCTGAAAAAGTGACTTCTTATGTGCAACTACTTGACTACAACCCACAGCTCCAAAACGTTCCCTGGTGAAAAGAAAACCCCTCCCTGCCTCCACCATCTCCCCACAGTTTCTCTTTCCTTGCCACACCAGGGCCTGGAGCCCAGGAAGTACTGCACCATGTTCTGGTCCCCACGCCGTTTTCAGTTTGAGATGGCACCTTGGCTCAGTCACCCGGGTGCGGTTCTGGAGCAGGGATCCTGCTGGTCTCCACTTCCCAAAGGCTGGGGTTACAGCTGTGTCCCCTGTGCCAGGCTCATGACACACCAAGCCCGTCAGCACACCAGGGTCTGCAGTGCTGCGGGACACACAACCAGCTCTGGCCCCTCACGACGCCTACCTTGGGAGGGGATGGTGTCCTCCGAGCAGCATGGGGTGGCACTCTGTGTGCTGTAGCCGCTGGAGCATTGCAGCGAGTCCCGGCTGCTCCTCTGCGTGTCCAGCTGCAGACCCCGCGACAGTGCCAGGGCCAGCTCCTCACAAGCCTCCATCTCATCCCCAGGCTGCAGGTAGAGGGGGCAAAGAGACAGATGAGCAGCAGGGCCAGGAGAAAGTCCCAGCTCCACAGGGGCAGTGGCAGGCAGCACACGGCACCCCGGGCCCAGGCTGCACCCCACCCTGCGCCACCCGCCAGACAGAGCAGGTGCTACGTCACCCTGGCGGTGGCCGACACAGTCATGCTCCGAGGTCTCTGCGCCTCCTCAGCTGCTGCCCCCGGGCCCGCTGCTGAGCCGGCTGCGCCCCCACTGGGGTCTGGCTCGCACTTGCCCTTTCGGCGCTGCAAGGTGCTCACCAGTGGCTGGTCGTAGGGTCCCGGCTTGGCCCAGTCCTGAGCAGAACAAGGATGGTCAGCAGTGGGCTGCACCCCAGGTGGAGGACAATGGCCGGTCCTCAGGGGAAGCCCCTCTGGATGCTCCCACCCAGCCCCAGAGGCAGGGAGCAGGATGCCCTTGGGAGACCCCGGGTACCTCCTTTTCCTTATCTCTGCCCAGATTAAAATTGCTCAACCACCAGGCAGGAGACTCAGTTAAGAGCCACCTCGAAAGTGGCCAGCAGATGCCCCCCCCCTCCCCAGGCCGGCCTCTGAGCCGGGAGAACAGCTGTGTGTCAAGGGACTGGCCATGGGGCCACTCCCCAGGCCATATTCTCCACCTCTGGAAAAGGGGGCCTCTCAGGGGCCAGTCTAGCTGCCTGAGACTGGGGGGCAGGGTCCCCAGGAACAGAAGGAAGGTAAACAGTCTGAGCCGCCCACATGAACCTGTGAGCACAGAAGTCAAAACCCGCTGCAATCACTGGCAGCCTAGGTGCTGACTTTTTCAAATTAGGGTCCTTCTCACAAAACGGCATTCTCTTAGAGCAGCAACTCGGCTTGCTGGGAGACGGCTAGTAAAGTCAAAACTAAAAACTAAAAGTCTCTGTGTATTTCTAAGATGACACACAATGACCCCAAATATAATTTGGGTTGTGGTTTTGTTACTCTGGCCCAGCAGAACTCGTGAGGCAAAATGTGGGGTACACAGCCATGGAGGGTAGTGCAGGTGGCCTCAGGACGGACTCAGCCCAGCAGCGTTGGCCTGCACCTTGGCAGGGATGCTCCCTGCACCACTGGCCGGGCCTCAGGCTAACGAGGTCCCTCATGGCAAGGCTCCCGGAGCCACCTAGGGCGAGGCGGAGGCTTGGGGAAGCAGCCGAGTGTAAACAGAGGCGGGAGATGGAAGCACAGAGCAGGGGTGCGCAGCACAGCAATGAGGGGAATGGGGCCAGGAACGACACAAACCTTCCAGCTAGGGATCTGAGATGACGGGAACATGCCGGGCCCAATGGTGTAATAATGAGCGTAGTCTGGAAGGTGGACAGAGGTGACCCGAGGGAGCAGGCGGGAGGCGGGCAGGCAATGAGGGAAAGGGCCTGCACCTACGGGCCCCACATGGGCCTCACTTGATAAACTACAGTGAGAAAACCCGTTAGACAACTGGAAATAAACAAAAAGAGGGAAGAAAAGGAAACAAATTAATACAACAGGATGAGTGTGGAGGTACACGATGGCATTGACATTCCGGGAGTGGGAAAACCTGGATATCACAAATAAGACACGGGGTGGGGTCTCTGCTGCTCGAGGATGACCCAAGATTCGAGAGGAGAGAGCAAGGTACGAAAAAACTTGGCGCCAACTCCACACCACACCGAGTAAGTTCTCCAGCAGGAAACAGCCGCTCTGCATCCCGGGTTTGCACACCACCCGGCACCCTTAACCTGCAGTGCCTGATGCGGTTCTGCTTGGTAACTAACAAAGCGGAATTTCCTGGGATAGGGATCTGCTCCTCTCATTACGCAAATGTACAATCTGGCAACATCCTCCAATGAATCTGTTCACTGTAGGTCTCAAAAACTATCACCCAGTTCAGGAGCAGATTCCAGACCAAGGCGGGTGCGGGGAGTCACAAACTAAAGGCAGAAGAGCACAGAGCCTCTGACACGGGGACTTCGCGGCTGATGGCATCAGGGGTGCTGCGAGGGGCCGAGGTGGGAAGCATGCCCTGCCTGCCCAGGAAGGAGCCTTCATACCTCCACATTCCCACAACCCTTCCTCTCCCCTGTCCTTAGGACACAGTCCTGGGCTGCTCCCGCCCTTTCCCCAGAAGGGCCCACTCCTGGGGTAGCGCTGAGTGTCCGGCTCCCGGCAGCTGTGGACGGGCGGGGGACCCTGGGCGGTCACCTTCTCTGAGGACACCCAGGCACCCATGGTGGAGCCTGAGCTGACAGAGGTGGGAGAGCTGCACTCGCTCACTGACTGGCAGGTTTCCGAGGCTTCCGAGGAGGCCGAGCTGGACGAGTTCTGCAGCAGGGAGGGACACACGAGGGGACCGAGGAACCAAACCGCACGCCACCAAAAATCATAATAAATCATAACATAGGGGCGGGGCGGGGCGGGGCGGGGCGGGCACACACGGAGACAGACAAAATACACAGAAGAGGGGAGGACGAGAGAGCACACTGTTAGACGGACACGTCCCAGTTTGCACTCGCAGACTTCGAGCCCCAGAAGCACAGCTCGGGACCCGAGGACACAGATTCCTTGTGTTCCTGGCCCCACAGGGTGGCGGGAAGGCCGAGGCAGCAGTGCTGCACTGTTTACTACCCTTGTCCAGGTCCCCGGCAGACACAGGCACTGCTTGTTACCCCAGGCTGACTTCAGCAGGGACACCGCCATGTCTACCTGGGATGGCTCGTTCCCTCTATGGCGGTGGCCTCTGGCTCTGAGACACACCAAGCAATCTCTGTCTGGAGAGCAACTTGGGGTTGGGAGTAGGAAAATTCTGGGGTCAGGTCAGTGCCACATTTCTGACAGCCACTGTGGGGCAGGGTAAAGCAGGTACAAAGGACCGAGTGACGAGGACTTCTGCCGTGGATGTCTTAAACTATGGTGTCAAATGTGGACAGGGCATTCACTCCCAAAGAGGCTTCTGACGCTGCTACAGTGGGCTGCGCCAGTCAGTTCACTGTCACACCCAAGTTCCCATGCTGGACACGATAGCATAAGCAGCAGTGAGCATCCCTGTGCTCCCAGCCAGCTCCCAAGCACTGACCTGGGCCCCTAGGAACTTGCTTGAAGTCTTTCACTGTCACTAGCAACCTCTACCTCAACCCCGGGATACTGCAAGCCCCACCCGCTACACTGGGATTTCTCCAGAAGTGTTCCTCAGTCAGCTGTGTTTCTGTCCCATTCACCCACAACAGAAAGGTTCCTATAAAGGGACAGAGGTCTAGCTTTCCTGGCCTGCAAATTCAAAGGACCAGGATGACATTCAGAACGCAGAGCTCTGTGGAGCCAAGCAGGGACAGGCTGGAGAGTGGACAGACATCCCAGCAGCCCAGGATCCAAAGGTTTGAGAGCTTTGTCTCTGCCAATTTTAGCTGACGAATTGTGGGCTTCAAAGCTCTCTAAATTTAACAGTTTTTATCTTTAGAATGGAGGTCAAAAGTATCTAGATTAAAGGTGACTCTACTGCCTTCAAACTGATTTGATTTGTGTAATTTCCTAAATTCCCCCTTCCTTATCATTACAAACAGCCATAATGCCTTAAAAAAATACAGAGGTCTCTATTAAATCCTGCAGTATCTCAGAACTTGTTAAAACTTCCCTAACACCACTAGTCAAATGAATCTTGGGCACAGGCTTTCAGGTTTCAGAAACCCTGATTTGCATCATCTGCCTTCCCAGTACTCCTGGAGAGAGCATGGTGGGTCATTCCCGACCCCGCAACTTGGCTAGGAGGCGAGCGCAGCTTTGCTTCTCAGAAAGCGCTGTCTGCACCGCGCTATGCCAATTTCAGTCCACTGAAAACAAACCCACAATTATGCTGCACACGAGAACAGCCTCCAAGAAGCGCAAGTCCTGCTCTCCTCCTGCCCATTCACACTCTGCTTGTGAGCAGGACAGCCATGATTTAGTGAAGCACACAGCAGGGGACAAGGTGACACTGTAGAGGCTAACCCAAAGCACCCTAGCACATGACAATGGACAGACACATTAAAACTAGAGCAGTGGCACTTGGATCTCCACACTCCATACAAAACTGAGTCTCTAAATAAGGAAGAAAAAGAGGTCATAGTTTCCCAGGAAAGCAAAAATAAACGCCAAAGAGCTCTACATTCACCAGTTGGGAGTGACAAGCTGCTCTGGACTATGTTCCCCAGCAGGTGGAGCTAGGCGCTCGCCCGTGGCAACACAGTCCCAGTCCCAGTGTTCAGTGAACTGCTGCCTGCCAGGCATTAAGCCAGAAGGGACACACTGGTACTTACTTTGGGGAAAGCTGAGAGAGGGACACACAGGCCTACAAGGCACATGAGGTGTCTGGAATCTCACCCAGTCCCTGCTTTTGGCTGCAGCTAGAACACTGGCTGGGTTAAGCTGGACTGGCGCTGCCTAACCCAAGACACCCCACATGACCCCTTCTCCCAGGAGCAAAGCACCACCCACATTATCTGCAGAGGCACTGGTGATTCGTCCCCACCGGAAACAAACTGACTGAGCTGAGAGGCCCAGGAAGGGCATCCGAACTGCTTTTCACTGCTGGGCTCAGCCATCAGGGCAGAGCCTGAGCAAGGGGGTGCAGAAGGCAAGCTCACTGCACCAGAGCCCACCAACCGCGTAGGCTCACTTGGTGGGCACTGACGGGCGCCAGAGTGTGGCCACGCCTCTGGGCTCCCTGCTCCCCATATCAACATGGTGCTCAGCTGTACCCTGCAGAAACAGGCTTCCTCCCCAGCCTACACGTCCCTCCCTGTGGGAACAGCACCTTGAGGGGCAGGGATTAAACCAAGCTGCTCTACACCAGCACACGGGGTCCATCCCAGCGGAAGTCCCTCTGTGGTGCAGCCATTGGTGGGGTCAGGGCAGCTGGGGTGCCAGCTGCTGCTCGAGCCAAGGGCCCTTTACCTGGTTGGCAGCCTCTGGTGGCATCGGGGAGGGCGACTTGGACTGGAAGGCATCCTGCGATATGAACCCTGAGTCGTGGGAGGACACGCTGGACAGCCTCACGGGTGCCTGCTGGGCCAGGTTGGAGCTGCGGTAGCGGTAATGGGAGCTGGGAGAATGCGAGTGGGAGCCGCTGGAGCGTGAGTCGCTGCTGTTGACACTGTTCAGGCTGCTGTGAGGGGCAAGGAGCAACGGCAGCCATGGAGGCAACAGTGAGAAGAAGTGACACACAGCAAGGGGCAAGGACAGGAGGAGCACGACATGATGCAGCCAGCGCTTTGCACTGGACAGGTACTACCCGAAGACAGCTGGCACCAAGTCACTGACCCAGGAAACAAAAAATTTTCTCAGGTGCATGACAGGAACTGGGACCTAGGTCTCTGGTGAGGTAACGCACACAGCAAGGTCTGTGACTCAGAAACTCACGTATGAACACCTTTGCTATGTCATCTGCCACTAGATCAAGGGGACCTGCTGTTTCAGCATGAAAAGAAGCAGGGCTCATCTCATCTGTCTGCAGAAAGCACCACCCAGAACAACACCCACAATGTCTGCAGCACGACTCGGTCAGATGTCTTTAGCCAGACCAGCTGGGCCCAGAGGACCAGCGTAAGCACAACTAACTGCAGCTGAAGGACTCCCCAGGGTGACTGTGCCCTGAGCCAGCGCACACCGTGGAAAAGCACATCAGCAGATCGATTAGTATGTCTGTGTGCATACATCACACTTTTTATTTAAAAAGCAGGTGCTTTAATCAATAGCCTTTCCTTGATCTCAGGTATTTCTCATGGAAGTCCAGGCCCGGCAAGAAGCAGACAGTTTTCAATCTCCAAAGGCAATCAATGCTCAGCTGTCTGCTTCCAAGGCAGAGCAGTAAACACAGTCACACAATGACACACCCCTCCGGGTGTTCTGCCTGCATTCCAACTCCAGCTGCAAGAAATACACTACTCTGTATGGGTAGTTCTTCTAACTCAGGTTAGAGAAACAGCTGTTCCAAGCCCCAAGGTCCAAACAGGCAGAACTAAAACTTAAGGGCAGCAGCGGGGCATCTGAGGGAGGACATAAACAAGCCAGCGAGGACTTGGAAGTCCTCGGCTTCTACTCCCAGTCCTCAGGAGACTGTGCTCTGCACACCACAGCTAATGTGGCAGCTCAGCGCTGGGAGCCTGTCCCACACTAGGTACAATGGTACAATGTTCAGACAGACCCTGGGCAGCCTGCTGGAGGGAACCACTGCTCAGGGGTAGACACCAGAGTTTCTGCCTTGACCCCACAGCAGCCAGAGGGCATCTGCGGACAGACAGTAAACCTCACAGCGACTTGGGCAACAAGTTTGTGTCAATGCAACAGGGTTTTCTTCTCTACTAAAACCATAAGGGAGGAAAAATACCACGCAGCTGGTTTTACCTAGAGAAACATTTTTCTTGGCTACTAAAATAGTTCTCTCTCTCATTGGCTAATACACAGAGCCCAAAAAAGATGACAAGAAACTAAATGACAGCTTCAGGGGCAGAATAGCAGGATGTAACCTCGACCTGGGCTGCCTGCTAGGTGGGTATCTGTGTAAGCCACAGAGTGAGATCCAACACAGCAGGACGCACAGGGACATTATTTCCATATGCAGATGAGTAGATCCATCCTGCTCCTCAATCCAGTTCTAAGGGAGTGGACATTCATCTGGCTTGGAAATGTCAGGCAATGTGACCAGGAGCAGGTGCAGTATATCAAGAAACATAAGCCATATATGAAGACGTCTGCCACTTTCGAGAACAAACTTGCCCAAGCAGCAAAAACAGCCACCTAACAAAACCGCTAGGGCCCCAGTCGTGCAGGTGGGCTGTGTGGAGAAGAGAACAGGACTGCTGGGCAGAGCAATGTGATGGTGGCACCGATGTCAGAGCAAGAAATGCATTTGCTGGACAAAACAGAGTGGGGCCTAAAGCCTTGCGGCTGCCCCCTCCCTTTGCTCCAGCAGGAGTGGAACTGGCCTGTGTCAGGAGTCTACGCTCACCGTTTTGCTTATGGCTTCTGCTCTGCTTAAAGAGGAAACTCAAATGCAGTGTCATAATATGGAAAATCCCTACAACAGGCAGCTGAAAGAGGGCACGCTCTAAGAGTCACCGCTCTAAGAGATGAGGAGCTGCCTTTCAACTCCCAAATTAATCTAGAGTCCAAAGAACGAGACCAGACTCACGGCTGTTCGCTAGCAGATCGCCTCACCACCTCCTGTTTAAAAGGACAGATATACGCACACTGAAATCAACTTGTCCCTGGAAACAGGAGGCCCCACCTTCACTTACCTGCAGACACTGGACTTTCTGGACATGGTGGTGCTGGGAGAAGAGGGTGGTGTCTGATAGGACCAGCTGTAATCAGAGCCTTTCAAATCCAAGATCACCTGGAAGGATAGAACCGAGCAGATGAGCATGGTGCTGAGACGGGAAACAGCCTGCACGGCGCTGGCCCACCAGGACATCAAGCCGCTGCCCTTGCAGGCCATGGTTATTAAAGAAGAAAGTGGTTTGCTTAACCGAAGGGCTGCACTACCAACCCATCGATGTCACAATCTGTGGCAAGTGAAAGTGTGCCTAATGCAGGTCACAGAGAAGAGCAGGATAGCACAGAATGTTGGGGAAAAAGAGAGCTAATCACAGTGGCACGTAATGACTTCACACCAACGACCAGGACAGGCAGCAGTTTCACCTTCAGCTCCATAAAGGCAACCACAGTGTCCGGACTCCTGAACGGACACTGTGACCACTTCATATTCAACAGTCACCTGTGCCCCAATTAACCAGGATTAGCAACTCGAAAAGCATGAAGTCCCAGCCAATTCTCCCGCAGCCTCCTTTGCACCCATCGCCCCTGCTTGCCCGAGAGGCCCGGAGTTTAAGGGCCACCCCCACCCCAGAAGTGGTGGCCGTCTGCTGAGTGACAGCACCTCTGGGCTGTGAGGGGCAGCCTTTCAGAGCACACAGAAACACAAGCTCCCAGGTTCTGAGCCTAATCTCCCAGGAGGAGGCTGGACCCAGAAGACTCATCCGGCAGGCGATCTGTCAAGCGCCCGGCCCCTACATATCTGTAGTGTTAAGATCACATGCTCCAAATGAATAAAGCACAAGAGCATCATCTTCTTCTAAGACAAAAGCCATGCCCTCACACGGCCACAGGGAGCAAAGGAGTACCTCAAGCCATGAGGAGCCGAGCACACCCTCACAGGATCCCTTGAGGCTATTCCTAGAGGGGTCAAAAGTGGAGGCCCTGGTCCTAGACAGCTTGACCCAGGTCCTCCTCCATCCCCACTGGCCAGGTGACCCCAGGTAAGAGACTCCATCTCGCAAGGCCACAAGGTCCGGCTGCATAAACAGGCACAATAGTGAAGGGGAACTGAAGAAGTCTACGTGGAGAGCCTGGAACAGTGCCTGATGCACGACATCAGCACTAGACAGTGGCCAGCTGTGGGGATGCCCATGGCTTCCAGAGCAAAGCACATGGTGAACCTGAGCTTCCATCTCTTTGGTCTGTGCCCCCGAATGCTTGCCTGTCACCCTTACCTGTTCACTTGAGGAGGGCAGTTTGTGAGGGTCCATGGTCAGGCTCTTCAGGTCTTCTGATATGGTCTGCAGGTGGGTGATTTCCCCTAGCATTGAGATCTCCTCTTCCTGCAGGAAAATAATTTACTCATTATTATCAAAAGTGATTCATCATGGTCTTAGACCCACTGCTCCTGTTAGGGTCACTGATCATTGTGGAGCCTCTTCTACTGTTCTACCGTGTGATCCACAGAGATTCTCTTGTTCTCCATCGTCTTAGTAAATGGTGAGCAAGGTGGCGGAGACGACACATCATTCCACTCTCTTTTCCAAAGTTTCCAACTAGGATCAGGGGCCCAGGCAACAATGATCTAGGGGAAAGCTCTGTTCTCAAGGAACAGCCCAAATCTGGTGTCCTGCCGGAGGTGAGGGAAGGTATGGTGAGGCCTTCTCGCTAGCGTTTGTGGGTGCTCACCCCAGGAGCTCACCCCAGAATGAAGTCTGAACTGATTAATCTCATGGTCTCTCCTGGGGATTCAGCTTGGCCAGCAAGTCTCAAACATCACCTCATTTAAACACACATCCCTGTGGCCCCAACCCAGTTTGGGATTCAGTGGTCCAGGGGGAGTCTGAGAACTTCAATTTTTAACCAGTTCCCAGGTGACACTGGAGGCTGGGATTCCCCATGGAGAACCACACTACCAGGCTTCCTTGATCCAGGAAGAAGGTCAAGTGGAATATCCTGTGCTGACCGTGCACAAGGTGTGGAACACATGGCCACCAGCACCAGCACTTGAAGACAATCCCTGGTCAACAGGCATGACTCGCCGCAGCAGCCTCCAACCTGTGGCGCTCTCACTGACCCGCACAGAGGGAAGCTCACCCGCAGCAACATAGTGCAGGCCTCCTGGAGCCCCCTGGACTTACGATGACTGGCCGAAGCATAGAGATGAAGGTGCAGAACCGGCCCCGTTCTTCAATCAGAGCCTTGCGGACCGCTTGCTTCTCCGTTTCCTCCAACAGGAGATACTTATCGTTGACATCCTGGAGAGCGCTGTCCAACTGAGGCTGGATATCACCTCTCCCTGTGAAGGAATCAAAGCCTCAGTGTGGCTTGCTGAGACTCAGCTTGTGGAACAAAGACTCCTCTTCCCTGGAGTCAAAACAGTGACTTCCCAGGACTTAAGGGCAGCTATTATCCTAGGACCCGATTTCCAATTTCCAGCATCTGAACGCACATTTACTTGGTTTACTCATGATGAGAATCCTCCTCGTCATGTCCTGCTTGCTGGCCTTGCACAACCCCCAGTGCCACAGACCCCTGGCCCACAGCCAGGGAGGGCGCTTTCCTTTCAGAGCACGTGAAGAGGCTCAAAATGGGTGGACACGGCAGGGTCCCTGACGGTCACAAAGACGGCACAGATGCCTCTGTTGAATCAGCCTCAAAGGAGAGCCTCTGCTTCTGCAGAAGTCCCCCTGCCTGAAGACAGAGGAGGCAAGCAGCACCCCTTGTCTCGGGTAGTTTGTTGGAGGCTCAGGTGTGTGTCAGTGACAACCACAGGATCTATGCCAAGCTTGGCCTATGTCCTTTATTCATCTGGCCATGCCCACAGAGCCTGGTGAAGCAGGGGTGACCATTTCCAGAGTTTCACACTGGGCCTTAGCCTTGTACACAACTCCACAATATGAACAACAAACTATTCTAAATAAAGTTTTATTAGAACACAACCACATGCATTTGTTTACATTCTGTCTATGCCGGCTGTGGCCACCATGGCACAGATCGGCACTGTGACACAGCCTGCATGGCTCTGTGATAAGAATTCCCGGCCCTTTGCAGATCAAGTCTGCTGCACTGGGAGGAAATATGGGCACACAGGCAGCCCATGCCAGGGAGCGGCTACCTCAAATCTCACCAGGAGGGGAAGACAACAAAGTGACACAGCAGAGGCCATCAAGGTGACACATGATTTCAGCCTTTCCCTGAAGATCCCCAGGACAGTACCATGTCCAGTGAGTACTCAAGAAATGTCTGTGCAATGGATTTCAATGTGAAACATGAGAGCCAGAGTGAGCCTCCAAGGTCACACTAGCCAGCCTGTTCATATTTCAGTGGAGGTCAGGTCCTAGAAAACTTCTGAGGTTCATCCCAGGTCATCAAGAGAAAGGCAGAGACCCAGACCAGAGTCCCCAGGGTCCTGTGCTCCTTGGCTGCCACCTGGAAGCCAGCAAACAAGACCCGCCACCTTACAGAGCAAGCTGGACCAGGGACCATCTGAGCCCCTGGGACAAGGTGCAAACATTTAACAGGATGCACCACCGGGCTGAATGAAATGGTCAGACAAAACTGTCTCGGGTATAAGAATAAATTCTACATTTTCTCCCCTAAGCTGAGAGGAAAGCTTAATTAGGAGCAAAAGGCAGTCAGGCTTGAAGATCATCCCCATAGAAAAGCCAGGTTTTCATAATGAAAGCCACTTTCTTATGCAAGGAGCAAGTTCTAAATTCGCACACATTGGGAAAATTATACACAGTCAAAGATCGCCCTAGAAAATGCCTCACAGTGCAAATAAGGCTGACATGTACAACTCTGTGAGTGTACCGACAACTCCCACTAACACAGGTGAGTTCAAAACGGCATATGCAATGCCCAGTATCTAAGGCCACAGAGAAGATTATCCACCAGTTACAGCACGTAAGCACCACGCTGTGTGTATTTCAGGGTGGTCCACTCACCCACTCTGCTACCTAGACACCAACCACTCCTCCACCTCCTCTTCAATCTCTTCCTGAAGGGTAAGACAGGAAACTGTTCTCATACATCAACTGGCCACAAGGCCACTGGTTCCTCAGTTTTCAGTGGACAAAAATTCTTTACCATCACTCTAGGATCAATTTTTCAAGGAATGGGTGCTGCCTCTCTCTCACAGACACAAACACCTCAACCTTCCTTCTCCATGGCCAGGGGTTCACAGAGACAAGAATGGGGCCTTGACATGCTACAAAAAGTGGGGATTCTCTATCTGCACACTAAAATGCAGCTTATACAACTGGACCCACACCCCCTTAACACAGGACGCACGCCCCATGGCTGGGACATCCCAGAAGAGGACTGAGTTTCTTGCTCAGCACTGCTATGGTCAGTTGGAGCCTTGTGGCGGGAGGCTGTGGGGCTCGGGGCTCTCAACCCCCCAGAGCTGTTCCAGAATCAAGACATGAAGGGCTGCGAACCACAGCAAAATGGTCTTTACCTGAGCAGAGAGGCACAAGGAGGGGCTGCGGGTGACAGCAGACTAAAGAGTGCAACATTTGCCCCCGTTTTAGACAGGCCTTGGTGATGTTGGGGTTTAGGCCTAGATGTCCCCCAGAGCCTCCTGTGTTCTGAAGTGGGGCTTCTGGAGGGTGCGTGGATGGGGGGGGGGTGTCCCCACAGATGAACCCCCGGCTACAGGTGCTGAGACAGGAGGTGCTGGCCACTGGGCGTGACCTGGAGGGCAGCACCTTCCTCCCTGGCTCCTCTCTCCCTATTGGCTTCCAGGCCGCCATGATGTGGGCAGCTTTTCTCCATCAGACCCTTCCACCCTGCTGTGCTCCCTGGAGCCAGCTGACCGTGGACTGAAAGCCGTGGACTCATGGTTGTGGGTGTCAGGCATTGCATCTCAGTGACGAGGACAGGGACTATAATGGTTATCAAAGGGTACTTTCGAAAATAACACTGTAAATATAAGAAATTTGAGATATGTTCTCTTTACTTTGTTTCACAAGTGAGAAGGCATGTGTCCACTTGTAATAACAGACTTGTATACCTAAATAGGAAAACACCAGACATGGTGGCGCATGCCTGTAATCCTAGCACTCAGGAGGCTGAGGCAGGAGGATCACCACAAATTCGAAGCCAGCCTGGGCTACAAAGTGAGTACAAGACTAGTCTGAACTGCATAGCAAGACTCTGTCTCAAAAAAATCAATCAATCAATAAATCAAAGTCAATGTGTCATCTAATTTGATAAGTGTAATTTTATACTATCCTATGTTTACAGCAGTTATTTTAAGTACCTATCACATTGTAATTAAAAACACTCAAATTGTAGTATTCTAAAGTATACAGACTGCTGTAACTATGGTTATAGTGAGACCATTTAAAATATCTCATACCCTACAATCACACTGATTATATCTTAAATTCCTAACCCAACACAGAATTATGTGCATAAGAAACAACTGCACAGGAAACCACCTTCGCCCCAGTCGGGTGCACTGATTTCCAGATTCAGTCCTCCGCTCTGGGCTGTGCTGCTCCGATTTAACACAATGGCTCTTGGGACCCCAAGACTGATTCCAGGAGCCCCCTGGACACCAAGATCCCTGGACATTCAGGTCCCTCTTGTAAAATAACAGACTGGCCATAACCTACGCACATTTCCCTCCCATCTAACACTGGTATGTAAGCAGTCATCACCCGGTCTCAGAAAGTCTGCACATACTCAGTTCAGCTACAGTTGTGTTTTTTGGGGTTTTTGGTACTCAGGATCGAGCTCCCGCCCTCCTGCTTACCAGGCAGGCGCTTATGCCACTAAGTTAAATCCCTGGCCCCCAGCTGCAATTTTTACAACACTGTTTTTGATCCATTTGTGATTAAACATGTGGAGGTGGGCGGTGAGCACCCTAGGTGGCAGCCATATGAGGGGAGTGTCCACCTCCCTCAGGCGCCATCCTGGCGTCCCACCCTGTCTCACCTCTGCGTCTGCACCCATGCTGCCATGGCAGCCTCTTCCCTACAAGGGCTCAGAAGTATCACTCTGCCTGTCCACAGCAGCTCCACACACTGAACTCAGCCTTTATCAGCCCTGACATTCAGGACAGCACCATGTCCCCAGCCAGCATGGCCTGCCTTGCGCACACGCCTGGGTCCCCTCTGCTTCACAGCCTCCGTCCCACCGAGCCCTCCCTGCCTCTCTCCCATCCTGCAGGTCTGGTGCCACACCATTCCACCTTCACAGACGGCCCCTCCGCAGAGCAGAGCAGAGCAGGGCCCCTCACTTGCACTCAGGAGACCCCTACCACTGTCCTGCTCAGCACACTCCAGTCCCAGTTTCACCTGCACCTCCCTAGTTATCTGTTGGGCTTCACTTTCCCCAAAACGCATTAAAAAGTCCCACTGGCACCTTCCTGGAGGACAGGACTCAAATATTATTTAAAATGAATGAGGCACTGGTAGAATAATTGACCCAAGTTTGCTTACGGGCTCACCCATCACCCACTGTGCCCTTAAATGGCTTCAAAACCAACAAATCCCAGAACTGCTGATTGGCCTGAAGAAGGAAGGGTGAAAATTCCTCAGATGGGCTTTCCAGACAAAATCCCTGGGCTAAGAATTGCATGTGGATTTTTCTAAAACTCATTCTCAGTCTTGTGAGTTTGTTTTCCACTGCCAGCCTCCAAGTCTTGATTATATTCACAATGAAGAATTCTGATGAACCCCAGCCAGAAGCCCCTTACAACGGCACTGAAAAATCTTCTGATTATGCTCCCTGGGAAAATGCTTGAATGGGCATGTGGGCAGCAAGGTGGGGCCCATGCCCTGCCCTAATCAAGTAGAGAAAATCCACAGAACTTTCTGGAGTGAAGATCCTCTGTCCACTCCGCAACATTTACACTTTATTTTCCATAATCCCTACATAAATATTCAAAAGGGTGGGGGGTATAGCTCATCGGCACAGTGCCAGTCTGGCAAATGTGAAGTCCGGAGGTTCAACTCCCAGTGCCAAAAAAAAATTCAGGAGAGGAATTAATAACCCTTTGTGACAGGGCAACCTGGAATGAAGGAGGTAAAGTGACTTGCCCAGGGCCACTATTCCAGCTGGGAGCTAGTTTCCAGTCAGTACTGACATTGCTGGCTAGCTTCCAGTCAGACCCGCAGGGTGAGCGGCACCCGGAACTGTCCGCCTGCAACCCCTGCTCTGTGGCCACACCATGACTTCACGGCTACACCAAAGGCTGCGTGCAGGGAAGGGTCTCTGGACTAGAAGAACCAGCCGGGATACCATGGGCCAGAGTGTTGCAGGCATTAGCAAAACATCCAAAGC